TGAATTGAAATTAAAAAAACGCAAATAATGTTCGCAGAATTTGAAAATTTTAAGATGCCCTTAAATATCAATCACCTTCCATATTTAAGCTATAAGTACAATATATGTACATAATAAGTACTAATGATTGAGAAATTGTGTATGTCAAAATTCTGGAATCCAACTGAGGAAGAACATTAAAATACCTATTAGTAATTTTGTAAAATGCAAAATTTTAATTTTTTTACTTAACATTCGTAATTAACTTTGTTTGCCTAATAAACTTTTTTTTATGTACCTACCCATTTAAGATTTTTAATTTGTGCTTTTACACACATACATACTTATATGGTTTTTTGGAATGGACATACAACCATAGATAAACATAGAACTATTTACTTACATATGTTACAAATTTTGTATTTTAATGTAATTTCGTTTTTTAATAAATTATTGGTCATTCATTAATTCCTATAATACATATACGCACATATGTGTATATATACTTATGCCAATTTAAGTATTATGTAGATAATTTACATACATAAGTAATTATTATAATATCAGAAATCATAGTATGTAGTAAATTTTCTCATTTTAAAATTTGAAAAAAAAAAAAAATTTTTTTTAGCTTGGTACGTTGAATGCTACAGAATTAAACAATACAAGAAAAATTACTACTGATATCGTATATTTTATGAGAGTACCAAAAACTGGAAGCCAATCTTTATATTTATTCATTGTAAAAATTCTTCAACATACTAATAATTTCAATATTAATTTTAGAAGACGGGCAAACCGTACAAAATTATTGCAAAATGTGTATGATCAATATTCCATTGTGAATAAAGTATATAATCAGGCAAAAAATTCAATATACCTGGGTATCCATGAGAACTATATTGATTTTAATAGTTTCAAGAAAAAAAATCCTATTTATATAAGTTTAGTTCGAGATCCAGTTGAAAAAGTTATTAGTTGGTTTTATTATATACGAAGTTCACTTTTTAAAATAAAAGGAACATTTTTTTATAAAATAATGAAGGAACGTAATGAAACAAGATGGTTAAATCACAAATATGATGATTGTGTTTTAAATTATGAAAATGAATGTAACTACATACGAAATAGTTGGTATGCAATCGGGGACAATAGGAGACAAAGTAAACAGTTTTGTGGTAATCATGAAAGTTGTGTGTAAGTATAAAAACTATTATAATGGAAAGTATGAAAAAACTTTAAATATTAAGATAACGAATGTTTTCTAAAAAATGCATTAAGTTGGTTAATATTACTATATGTATTTTGTTTTTAGAACAAGCAATATCTATTGGAAACTGTGTGGCTCGAAAAAATGGCTATTTTTCTATTTTCTTAGTACTGATCAGATTTTAGAAAATTAATGGTTTAATTCTGTTATTGCAATAGTAACTAGTTTATGTTTTATTATCTTATGAATTCCTACTGGAATATTGAAAGAACTCTTTACATGTAACGAAATTAAAACACTGTGAACGCTGCCAAATTTCATTTTGTCAATTATATTATATTAAATATCAGTGCAACAAACTAAATGCATATATATTTTGAGAGAAGTCTATAAAATTTTTCATGAAATTATTGAAATTCCTTTAATTTTTGGTGTAATGTTTTAAATGATATAAAATCATGCAATCTTTTGGCAAAGAAAATCAAGCTTTAACTGTGTAAAACTTTTATGTATTTTTTACATAACATTGTGATAATTTTGTATGTTGGTACATATAATATTTTAATCAAATTTTGTATGTCCTTTGATCTTAGTTTAAAATTCAAAGCAACACAGCGCTAATGCAACGCAACAAAGGTAAATTTTAAGATTAAACGAAACAATACTTTTTAAATTGCAAATAAAATCGAAATTACTCGTATAATCCTTGATGATACATTGGCGTTAAATTACTTTGTATTGAAAACTAAGATTCATTTAATTTATTTAATTTCTTTCATTAAAAAAAAACTTCTATGATTATGTTTTTAGCTTGAAACATTAAATGCAACAGAATTAAACAGTACGAGAAATTTTGCTCTTGATATCCTATATTTTTTACAAGTTCCACACGCTGGTAGTAAAGCTTTAGATGTTTTTATTTCAACTATTTTGAAAAATGTTAACAATTTCAAGGTTGATAGAAGAATAAATCAAGCAATAGATAAAAATTTTTTGATGAATTTCTATGATCAGGAATTGCTTGCCTTCAAACTTCTACGAAATCGGAATAATACTATTTTTATAGGATTTAATGAAAATTTTATTCATTTTCGTGATTTTAATAGACGAAGACCGTCTTATATTAGTTTAGTTCGAGATCCAGTTGAAAAAGTTATTAGCCGGTTTTATTATATTCGAAGTCCATTATTTGCAAAGACTAAAAAATATGCAAATTATAGTAAAAAAGGCTCAAATGAACGAAATTTTATAAATGAAAAATATGACGAATGTGTTTTAAATCATGATCCTGAATGTCTTTACATTTCATTTAGTTGGAATAGTCGTAATGATTATAGAAGACAAATTCTTCATTTCTGCGGAAATCATGAGAGCTGTGTGTAAGTATTGACGCAAATTTTTCAAATTATGAATGAAAAGTCCAAAGTTTTTCAATTAAATTTATTTTCCACAGCTTAAAAATAACTGATAATAAGTATTTTATATACTCTTACTTTGGTTTCAATATGATCGGGATTTTTCATTTTCATTGCTTTATTTTAACCGACTGCATTGCATATAGTAAGGAAATAAGGGACTAAAGCTGTGATGGCACCTGTCTAGTTTTCAACGGGATTGAATTTCTTTGTGATATAGAAACGTTAATAAATTATTGTTAGCGAGATATTGTCGTTCAGCCGGTCGGTCGGTTTTTTTTCTTTCTGAGGAAATTAGCTGTCAGCAATCCACGGGTTGAAGTAAAATTTTTTCTCGGAAATCGGATTTTCACTTGCGATCGATTTTATATTTTTTACCATATCTGTCAGGACTAATTAGCGAATTTATTGAAATTTATTCTGTTTGTCAACGAAGTAAAATAGAAAACTTTTAAGCGAAGCTAACCAGAAAAGACCAATCACAGCAAATTTTCACACTTTATATTGATTATATTATGATCAATCGAAACTCTATTAACTATCAAACTCATATTTTGCTAGGAATATTAACTAAGAAGTTAGTAGCTTTCATTTAAACGAAATTTTCGTGAAATGACAAAACAAACAAACTAATTAAAAGAGATTTATTGAAATTTAATAAACAAATAATGCGTCTGTTAATGTACTGCTTACATCAGCCTAAGAGTTAAACAATAATTTTTCAATATCTGAAAAAAAAGTTTTAAAATTAACAATAATTAGCAGAAATTGAAGAATATAAAAAAATTTGTTACATTTTTAAAAGCTCTTATTAGTTTATTATTATGAAATTTTGAGTACTAAAATTTTTAATTTTAAAAATTTTTAAAATTTATTAAGACCTTTTGGCTCCCCGACAGCTATACAAATGGCAAAAGCAAATGTTGAAGAAAACTTTGCGGTTGTCGGTTCCTGGGAAGATACCAACATAACATTAACCGTTTTGGAACATTATATTCCGAGATATTTTAAAGGAGCTTTAAAGTTATACTATGGTAATTTTATTTTTTTTCAATTTAAAATTCAACTTTGGAACAGAATCAAAATCAACATATTAGTAACATATCTGAAAATTATTAATTTTTCAAAAAATTAAATTTAAAATTTTGTTGCCTCTAGTGTGAAAATTTATAATAAGAATTTCAATAAAAATTTCCTAGAATATTTTATATTGGTTTTAATTCTGTGTAATAGAATAAGTTCAATTTTGGGGAAAAAAAAGTCTAAAATTGTGTTTTTGATTTTAGAGAACTATCATAAGCTTAGAAACACCAACAGAAATTATAAAAAACCTTATACGAGCGAAAAAATCAAGGAAATTGTTAGAAGAAATTTTACTGGTGAATTGGAATTTTATTATTTTTGCAAGCAACGATTATACAAGCAATATTTGGCAATTCGAAAACATAATGGAAATTTTTTGCATTAGTAACATTGAAAGCATAATTATACACGGTTGTACATTGGAATATTAAAAAAAATTGCTAGCTTTTGAATTCTTATAAATATTGTAATAATAAAGTTCTTAATTTTACTGCCGAAAATGTGGCACAGAATCGTTTTATTCATATATAATAATGTTATAATTAAGTTTTCAAAAGACCCAAATTAATTTAAGAATATAAAATGACATTTTTAATCACCTTTTAAAAATTATTGTTAACTAATATCTAAGGTAATTTTAATATTGCTATTCAATTAATATTATAATCTTTCCAATGCAATAGTTCAAATTCAAAACATTTTTTTAATCATAAAAGAGTAATGTCCATGTGTTTTTGAATTGTTTAACTAAATTTGTAAATAATATTTTTGTTTAACTAATTTCATCGAATAACTAATTTAAAATTTGTTTTACAATAATTTCACTATTAGCAAATAATTTGTAAATTTTTCGATAATGCACTGCTTAATTATTAGCAATTATTTTGAATAAAAGCAAATAAATTAAATTGGTGATTCGAGCCTGTTTTTCATATCAAATTCAAGATTTGTTAAACAAAAAATAATAAAACATCAGATTTTTTTTAAGAATACTATTGCTTTTCTTGAACTTAATTCTTGTAAACAGAAACAAGATCAAACATTATAATATTATATTGGAGATTTTTTTTTCTTTAAAAATCTTATAAATACTTTTATATTTCATATAAAATTCCTAATATTTAGTTTCAAAATTTATTAAAAAGGAAAGATCATAGTAAAAAGCATTGCCGAAAATTTACAATGCACGTATACAAAATTAGAATAAGTGCTAGAAATAATATTATTTTTAAATTAAATTTATATTATTTTTATTTAAGTTACAAAAACTGAAACCAGATAAATTGAATAATACAAAATATGCAAAACTTAATATGATTTATTTTATGAGAGTTCCAAAAACTGGTAGCCAAGCTATGGCTACACTTATAATGCGTTATTTAAGTAAAAAAAATGAATATAATGTACATATCGGACCAGTAAAACAATATGGAGAACCATTTTTAACAGCATATGAACAAGAATCTCATATTATTGAAACATTATTTGATATTGATGAAAGTAAAGCTTTTATAGGTAATCATGAAAATTATATTGAATATGCAAGTTTTGGTTTCGAGAAACCAATTTATATAAGTTTAGTTCGGAATCCAATTGAAAAAGTAATTAGTTGGTTTTATTATTCTCGTAGTAATTTATATAAACCATCAAATATAACATTATTTTCGAGAAGATATGAAAAATTCGGTGGAGAATCAAATTGGCGTAATAAAACATTTGATGATTGTATAAAAAATTTTGAAGTAGAATGCCGTTTTATACCAATGAATTCACGTAAAGTACAAGGTTATAAAAGACAAATAATTCAATTTTGTGGTAACTATAAACCTTGTTGGTAAGAAATATATTTTAAATTATTTATAAATGTATATACATATATAATATTATGTATACTCTATGTGCATACATACGTTACAATATTATTATTAAATTTTTAATGTAATAGGGAATTCGGTTCGCCGCTTGCTGTACAAATGGCAAAAGATAATGTTGAAAGAAATTTTGCTGTTGTTGGTACATGGGAGGATCCAGAAATAACATTAACAGTTCTTGAACATTATATACCAAAATATTTTAAAGGGGCATTAGAATTATACAAAGGTAGTTATTAAAAAAAAAAACATGGGTTTAAAATATAAATTAAATTGTAATAATCTTGATTTTTTTTTTAGAAAATAAAAATAAAATAAGTGAAGTAAATAAAAATAAGAATAAACCTTCAGTTAGTGAGGAAGTACGAAAGATTTTATATAAAAATTTGACTGGAGAATTAGATTTTTATTATTTTTGTAAGAAACGTTTGTACATGCAATATCTGGCAATTAATGGCACTGTATTTAATCATTAACTATTTCTTATTCGAAGATAAGCTTCTGCTACTTAGCTTTATAACAATAAAAATTTTCAATAACTGCTGCTATCACTACAATCTTGATCTAAGAATAATAAATAAGCATTAAATACAAATATATTACAACATTAACTACATTATGATTAAGTAAAAATAATTAAACAATATTTTTTAATAGTTTTTATTAGTAGATTAACTAAAATTAAATAAAAATCTTTCAATTACACAAACATATTATGTATGAATTATCTTAAGAATTAAAAACTATAAGCATAAGTTTTTAAGCCCAGTTCGAAAATATCTATAATTTTAAATATTGTGAGTTTTAAAGTAATGTTAGTCTGAGTTAGTTAAAGTATGTGACTGAGTTAGAATTGGTATACGTGATGAAAAATTACATTACCTACCAATTCTATTCTTAATTACTGACTAAATTTTAATGTTACTGAGACTATCTACCATATTTTAGGCCGTAAGTCCATGTTTTCTCATTACAACAGTATTAAATATCGGAAGCAATTACTTGTTTGTGTATTCCTAAATTATTGCAAAACATTCACACCGCTATCTTCAATTTCCATTTACTTCTTTCGCCTAAATATTCTTCACTTTCTGTTTACGCCGCTAGAAAAAATTATAGTAACAATCAATAACAACCGCTAGTACACGAATATTTAGAATTTCTTTCAAATACTATCCAGTTTCTTATCAACATTGCAACATTTATACTAACAAAATTTTGCAAATTTTTCAATTAAGAAATTAATGTTTAATGTATTTAATTTGAAAATTTTGATACTCGTATTACGTTTATGTTCTGGTTTTCCAAATGCATTCTATTTAATTTCAAATAATTAGAAAATTCTCTCTCAGTTACTAAAAAAATTATTATTTAAATAAAAACTATGAGTCTTACTTAAATTTATAAAAAAAAAAATTTTAATAATTTTTTAATTAAAATTTTTACATAATTTATAAATAAATTAGTTAAATAATTTAAAAGTAAGAAATCTGAATATAACATGGAAATCAAAATGTGATATGGTCTATTTTATGAGAGTTCCAAAAACTGGTAGTCAAGCATTAGTAGATTTAATTCGATCACATTTAAGATTCAAACATAATTTTACAACATTTTATCGTGTACCATCACAAATGGAAAAATCATATCTTACTGCACATGAACAAAAAGAAATTGTTGATCAATCCTTAAGTAGAGGTGAAAATACTGTATTTTTTAGTATGCATGAAAATTACATTGAATTCAGCAGCTTCAATTTAAATAAACCGATATATATTAGTTTGATCAGAAATCCAATTGAAAAAGAAATAAGTTGGTATTATTATGTTCGAAGTCGTATTTATGATGCAAAAAATTATCCAGGATTTGTAAAAATGTGGAAAAAACGTGGTGGTGAGCAGATATGGCGTAATAAATCATTTGAGGATTGTGTTAAAGAAAAATATCCAGATTGTCAATATATACCGGGAAATCCAAATAGAGGACAATTTTTTAAAAGACAAAGTATACAGTTTTGTGGTAACAATGAGAATTGTTGGTAAGCTTTAGTCCAAAAAATAAAAAACACATAATTATGGATGATTTTAATTTTATTGTCTTTATATTTTTTTTGTCTTTATATTATATAGGACATTTGGTTCACCAACTGCAATACAAATGGCAAAAGATAATGTTGAAAGAAATTTTGCTGTAGTTGGTTCTTGGGAAGATGCCGAAGTTACTTTAACAGTACTTGAACGTTATATACCAAAATATTTTAAGGGTGCATTAAAAATTTACATGGGTAAGTTTTATACAAATTTGAATTTATAAAAATATTCAATAAATTTAAAAAATATTTATTTATTTTAATTTTAGACAATTATCAACATTTGAGTCAAGTTAATAAAAATAAAGATAAACCGAAAGTCAGTGAAGAAATCAAACAAATATTATATAAAAATTTCACTGGTGAATTAGATTTTTATTATTTTTGTAAACAACGTTTGTACAAACAATATTTAGCGATCAAGCAGCACAATGGAAAACGAAAATTTTTAAGAAGTTTATTAACATAAACGCTTTGCTTTTATTTAATTTAATAAAATTTTTTTTTTCGATTTCCAAAACAATTTAATTAAAGTGTTTTCTATTCAATTCTTTTTCTTTAAATTTTATTCTGTAGTTTTAAGAAAAAACTTGAACTGCCTAATTGGAGAAAACGCTTTTAGAGTAAATTAAGTTCAAATTTTTTGGATTTAAAATAAACTTTACAAGTTACAACTTTTTATAATTTTAACCATAACTTTGTGATTAAACGAGCTTAATTTTTATTTAATTTGGCAAAATTGTTTAGTAAACCATTGGAAACTTGATCCAACAAGAATTAAATTTAAAATCAATTAAAATTTTTATTAAGTTCGTTACATAGAAAGTTGCTTTCTGTAATTATATGTAGAATTTATTTCCAGTTTTATGACATAAACTTAAAAAAATATTATATAAAATTTAAACCGATTCCAACTAGGTACTAAAATTTTAAAGTGAGTGGCCAATTTGCATTTTATAGAAATACCCCATGTTGTTGGCAGTAAAATTTGTGAATATTGGAAACGATAAGCCTGATTTTATACATTAAAGTTCGAAGTCAGTGAAAATCTGAAATTTAGATCTCTCTTGAATTTTATTTAATTGAAAAAAAAATTAAATGCTATTTATTTCTCTTCAAAAACAATTTACGTTATTAACAATTTTTGATACCTAAATGACTTAAATCTTCTTGACAAATACGATAACCAAAAAAAAATAATTGTTTTATAGCATAGTATTATCACAAGTAGAACCTATATATACTAAAGAACCATAGAAATTTAGTGGGTTTTCATGTTTATTAAATTGTTCTTGTAAATAATTAATTAGAATATCTGTAACTAACAATATTTAGTTCAAAAAAATTGTTCCATACTTAAATAGCTCATAATAAATGTTCTCATAAAGACTCATAACAAATTTAAGTTTCTTTTTATTAAAACATTAGGTAGTTTTCTCATATTTTAATAACTTTGTTCACGAAAATCAACTTATTCTGTTTAAACATTTGAAATTCTTCTTACTTATATAACACTATTAATTTTATATGTATGTGTGTAAGTAATATAATTTCATGTCAAACCAAATATAGACTGGTTTACATGTGTATACATTGAATGTATGCACGGCTCTTCTTTTATGCTTCTGACACCCAAACTCATTATTAAAATAAAATTTATTTTAAAAGGGCTATGGGAAGCTTAAAGTAAATGCCGTGTAAACACTCAACTCGGATACACTTGCGTAAATAGAACCAATATAGGTTATTTTACATTTTGTGTTTCCAATAAATAAATTAAAATTTCACAAAAATATTTGATAAATATCGTATAAATGTATTCCAGTTCAAATTAAATATTTTATTTACTTTTGCAAATATAACAGAAAAATGAAGAACAATCACTGCTTCAATTGAATAATACAAGATATGGAAATTTTAATATTTTATATTTTATGAGTGTATCACAAGCTGATAATGAAGAATTGATTAAATTAATTGAATTATATTTGCAACCAAAACATAATTTCTCTATAGTAAAACGTAAAATACATTCATCATATGAAAAATATTATTTTAATGTTTTTGAACAAGAAACTCATATTCTTGAAACAATGAATTTGAATGAATTCACAGTTTTTATTGGAAATAATGAAAATTATATTGAATATGCAAGTTTTGGTTTTAAAAAACCAATTTATATTAGTTTAATTCAAAATCCAATTGAATCGAAAGATCGCAATGATAGCTCTTATTGCAATCGTCAAGAATCAATAAATAAAGCTGAAGATAAACAAAGATATAAACAACAAAGTCTTAGATTTTGTGGCAACTATGGACTCTGTTGGTAAGACAATTTCATTTTTAACTTAAAAATAAATTAAATAAAATTAAAAAAAAATATTAAATAACATTTTTCATTACAAATTCACTTTCTTTTCTCTATAATTAAATATAGGCCTTCTGGTTCGCCAACATCTATACAAATGGCTAAAGATAGTGTAGATAAAAATTTTGCGGTTGTCGGACTATGGGAATATCCTAAAATAACATTAACTGTTCTTGAATATTATATACCAAGATATTTCAAAGGCGCCTTAAAATTGTACAATGGTAAGAATTTAAGAATTTTTATATTTTTATATTTATTATTAATTTTTCACTTAAAAATTTACTTATATTTAAAATTTAATTATAAGGCTAGTCATAAGTTTTATTTACAATTTTATAATTATGTTTACGATTATTTTCTAATTAATTTCAAATTTATTTATTTTAGAAAATCAAAAGGAATTTATGAACATCAAGAGATCTCAAAAGACACCAATTGTAAGTGTAGGAACTGATAAAATTTTATATTATGAGAACCTTACAGGAGAATTGGATTTTTATAATTATTGCAAAAGACGATTATTTAGGCAATACAATGCCCTAATAAGACGTAAAATAATAAAAATTATTTAATTTTTTTTTTCTTAATCTGAAATAAAGATGAAATTTATTAAAAATTTAATTTGTTAATTTTATTTAAAATGCTTTTCAAAATTAAAACAAAAGATAGGCTGCAAATTTCTTGTTCTTTTTTAAAATAAAAATTCATTATTCTATAAATTCATCCTATTATAGGCATTATTTTCAAAATTTATTGCCAGTCCAGCATTTATTGCCAGCAAATTATTGCCAGGCATTCACAAGAAAGTCTTCGACTCTTGCTTTTTGAGCTATATAAGAAACAGAAAAGAAATATGAAATAATATTGCAAAAAAACGCCGAAATTGACGCCAAGCCAACAATTCCCGGAAATCTTTTAGCCTTAATACGTAGTTGGCTCTAAACAAAACTTACCATCACAAAAAATCTTATGCAGGGGTATATATAGCATAGTCTACTTAAAACAGACACAGAAATCGAATTACATACATATGTACATAATATTGATTGAAAATTTTAGAAATTTAATATTATTTTATTTATGAATATAAGTTAGAAAAATTCGGCCATTCGGTTTAAGCAAAAACAGCAATTGTTTTAAAAGGACTTAATTTCAATCAAGTTTAAAATTATTTATTTATAAGACAGTTCGTACATATATATAAATAATAATGTAGCACCATCTTAAGTTTTGGGATTAAGATATATCTGGAGGTATTTTCCCTGTTTGCGCTCCTATTGACATATACCTTTAAATTCTACCCGAAACCCCTTGCAATAATGATTTAGATTTAGACTACGAATTATGTATGAGCACAATCCATATGAACCAAATGCTATATAAACATTTCCTTCCTGCAACCTTTTAGCTCTCGATTTCGTATTTCCTGTTCTATTCAAAACTAGTAAAGTAATTAAAAAGGAAAAACACTTAAGTACAAAATAAATTTTATTCAAAATTGTTAATCTTTTATATTAATTTATACAGTAAAACTTCCATACAATGAACCACCTAGAGGCATAAGTATATAACAAGCTTCTCTATTAATCAAACGATTATTGTGGCGTCAGAAAAATTTACTATTTAATTTAATTTTGAAACAAAAGATTTCGATTTAGATATTTAGTTATACATGAAAGTTTTACAACAACTCAACGACTAAAAAAAAATTATTAATAAATAATTACATACAGAATAAAACTTAATCATAAAGCAGCAAATTTATGAATCTATGAAATTACGTAACTGGGGTGTTGGTAAAAATATACATATTTTATTCAAAACTGACTTTTTATTAATTTTGCATTCTAAAAATTAAAAATCAGATTCTTCAACTCGGTAGTATGGTCTGATACTTTTATGTCATTTGAAAGGCTCTAAAATTTTAATGCATACACAAATATGTATGTATGCAGAGTACATAATCATGATTTAAAAATATTCATAGAATTTAAATGCAAATATCTCAAAATTTTTATTTTAAACAATTAATTATAAATTTAATATCAAATATGTGAAAGATTAATAAATAATTATTATTAAAAATTTACCCCAAATTCTACCTATATACATAATTTTTATATAATAATTATAGTATAGATACATTTAAGTATGTATACACATTATACACACATGTACATATGTGGCACATCATAATTTCATTTATAACAATACGTGGTTACCGACTCTAATAAACGTACATATAAATTAATTTACCTATATTCAATATAAAAAGTTACACCCTGTAATCTAATTGAAATACACACATAGAAATATATTCACATTAAATCAAAAATAAAATTAAAAATATTATTTAACATGTTAAGCAAAAGAAAAAAAATTGGAAGCTTAATAAACAAACTGTTATATACGAGTACGTATACTTATATTTATATATGTGTGTGTGCATTGAATGAAAATTAGATAAAATTAAGGTAAATTTATTTTTATCATAATTAAAAGCAAATGATCGTGTATATACACATACATACATATGTGCAAACACATTCAACTTTATTGAATTTATACCAAGTGCTCCGTTTAATATAACGTACATACATACTATTATGTATTTATTTATGAATTTACAAAAAAAACACAAAAAATTTAAATATAAAGTAAATACATACATACTTACATATTTTAACCTATTGGACCCTTAAATAAGCATAAACTAATTCTGTTAAAATTTCAACATCTTGTGCGCCTCTGTCACCGCTGAAGTTAAATAAAAAACTACATTGAATACCACATGTATGGCAAGTGTAATCTCACCATTTAATATTTTTATATTGCAGTTTATATTTTTACTACAATAATATTAGATTATTAATGTTGTTATAGCATAAAACATTCCAAACAAAAGTTATTTTTTAAAGTACAAGAATTAATTGGGAGAACAGAAATCTTCATAAGCATATTTCATATTTATTTGCTCCTTTAACTGCAAAAATTGATTTCTACCAGTGAGTTTAGTTAGACCTTCCAAGCAGAAATTCTTATTCTTATTAATTACCTTTGGCAGTTTTATATAAGAATTGGTATAAAAGGATTAATTTAAACTTGACATACTATTTACTTCTTTTTTATTAAAAGGAATTGATCCTCAATACAAAGTCGAGTTTTAGAGCCTAATCAATTGTATCTCACTTTTTCATGTCACTTTTTATTCACTATTAAATCAGAATTCTCTGTTTTTCTAATAGATATTTCCTTTTTCTAATAAGATTACTCATTTTGTCAATTGGATTTTTGCATTTTTTCTCAAATTATCGACTAAACCTTCAAAAACAAAAATGAATAAATTTTGTGAACATTTTAGAAAACGAGATACGCAATATACGGAATAATTCTTCTGACTCGAAAATTACATTATACAAATATATTATAGTTACTCATTTTTTTCACCCTTGGCGAGTAAAATGACGCTTAATCAGGCTAATAACATAGTCTTTCCATAAGTTACGTAGACATCTCTTCAAAATTTCTTCACCAAAAGTATTCATTTTTAAAGTTCCTTTAATATTTAAAAAAAGTAAAGTTTTTGTTAAAACAAAGTTGTTTTTAAAATAATTACCATTACAATAAATCTCCCAAAAGTGCTTATTTTGAAAAAAGCTTAAAGGCCATAGGGTACGTGTTAAAGAACTTGAATGGAGCACTGCACTATCATTTTATGAATATAATATGAATTCATTATGAACTTTTTGATTCTGCTTGCAGTATTTGTATAAATAAAAATTAAACCGATCTTTAGTTAAGCTTTATTCATCATTTTACAAGCTGCTGTTCACTTAGAAGTTAGAAAATTTTAAATTGAAGTAATAAAACTAAAAAAAATATTGAAAATATACTTTTAAACACAATATTTTTTTTAAAAAAAAAAATTAAATTATGGAGAATCGATGCTTGGACGAAAATTATAATAATGAATATTGTAAAATTAAAAACATATTTATATAAATTTTTGAATTATTAAAATTATTAATTAGGTAATAGAAGCTTGTGTGGAATAACAACCGATATCAGGCCATTCTCTGATATAACTGACTTACGGAATTCGACACTCATTGGTTTTAAAGATAATGGTAAATAATTTTATTATAATTGTTCAATAAATATTCAATAAATTTATTTTTTTAACAAAAGATGTCTATACCAAATGAATCCTATAAGGATGTAATAGTTAGCTTAAGAAGTAAGAACCAATTTATTGGTTTACCAAAATATAAAATTCGCATATTTCAAAAACAATGTTTCACAAGAATGCTTCATACTTCATACATACTACTCCAATACTTGGAAGCGCAATGTGCTAATTTATTGATTTTCTTACAGGATTCAAACATTGTTTTAAACGAAATTTCTTTACATTTCCTAAATAACGGAATATTTCCATATTCTAAAGAATTATGTATTTTGAAGTGTACCCCCTTAATTAATCTTACCCACAAATATAGAACAAGCGTCTCCATTCCAGATTCTTTTTCTTATCTAAATATATCGTTATTTAATTAAACTTTCCTGATAAATTAGTTGCTATTAACTCTGTTATTTATCCGAAAATTCGTTTTAAATTTAAAGTTTCAATTAAGTACTTAGGTTTTAGCTTATTAAAGTTGCATATTTATTTATAATATTTCAGAAAAACGAATTGGTAAAGATGAAAAAATCAATCAAAGTTATAAGAAAATTAAAATTTCAAGGAACAATAGGTTGTCTAAGAAGAATCAAGAAAAATATCATCATTATGGTAAATTTTATTAACAAATAAATAATTTAAAATTCTCATCCTAATTCTAATTACAGATTATATTTTAAAGTATCTAAAAATATTGAGGAGAGAAAATAGAATTTATTTCCGAGAAATAATGAAACAATTAAATGATCTAAAACAATCACTTAACATATTGGAAACACAAGTTCTAGAACTGAAAACTGTAAGATTCGAAGATTCTAAAATAATTCCCGAAAAACCCTTTGAAAATAAAGAAGAATTCATAAAATTTGATAAATCATTAACAGATGACATCGAAAAAATAAAAGCACTGGTACGTTTTAGTGTAATATATTTCATATATTATGCATGCAAATAAGAAATGATGGTGATAAAATTCAAAATTTCATAAAATTTTTAATTAAAAAATGTTATTCTAGAAACAAAATTTTGCACGTTGTGATCGAGAAGACGTTAGAAATTTTGTTAAGAGGAATCTAAGAAAACTAATGATCGATAATGTTGTACGTTATTTTTCCTGGTCTGGAACTGAGGACAAAATAAGCGTGAAAAATTTTAATTGCATTTCTATACTAAAAGGTTAATATAAATTCAAAATATAATATATAATATTTTGATTGCTCATGTATAACATAAAGAAACTGGAAAATAGGGTAGTGAGACAATTGACTCCTAGGATCCCTCTTCGAATAAATTGTTCACAAAGTTGATTTTCGTGAAAATTTCCTTATTTTACATTTTCTCTTATCACTCTGAATGTTGAATAAATAATAATGAAAAAACAAAAATCTTAACCAATTTGATTTTAAAGTTAACTTGTAATTTATCGCTGTGAACCATAATTTAGTCGTATGCTAAATCTTAACATTTTTTTTATTATTTTAATTTATAATCTATAACTAGTAAAAACGTAATGACAATCAAATAATTCACAGATTTTCGATAATTCAGACGTGCATTGAAAGTTCTAATTTAAATCTTGTAAGTTTTTTCACACATCGTTTACAGACAGCAACTGCACGCCTTACTTAGTTGTGTAATACTCGAGTAATTCTTCAATATTAATTAACATTAACTATTATGCTCTTCTTCTAGTTTATAATTTTTGCAATGGTTTTAAAAAAAAAATTTAAAAATTCCTTTAGTAATTCCTTTGTAATATACTATTTTAACAGAATTAGCATTTTGGATTTATTGAACGTATTATCGAAAAACCCCTTTATTGATACTGGCATAAGTTCTTATTTAGTTACTTTGCCAACTTTTTTTTTTAGATGTGTGCTTATCAACAATTCAACATGCTACAGAAGCGAATATTGATTATCATATAAAACGTTTTTTTCAATATGCAAAACAAAGAATTCAACTGTCTGGAAAAATAAATCATTTATAGTTTTGGCGGAAAGCATTAACTACGATAATTATATAAGAGAGTTTCCATTAAAGATCAAATTCAAATTTATAATTTAACAATTTGGAAATGACAAACTGTTTAAATTAATTGAAATGGACAGCAATAAAACATTAAAAACTAGATTATTATAAATTCAGTTTTGTAGTAAATAAAAAATTAAATATATTTTATGAATAATTTTATTTTATTACGTTTTTTTTTCGAATTTTTTTTTTTAATTTTTTCTTTAAATTTATATTATATTTTTAAATCATTTTTTTTTTTTTATTTTATGTATTTCAGTTGATTTTTATATTTCTTTTTTTTATTAAATTGTTTTCACACACATTTATAATATAATATAATTATAATGATCAAATATTTTTTTCATAATACATTATATTTTAATAAATCATTGATTTTATGTATATAATTTACACTGAATGATGATTCGTATATGATAATTGTAATTATAATTTCTATATTATATAATAATCTAATTGTTAATTATTTTTGATGTATTTAATTTTTCTTTGCCCTTGCTTTTATATTTATTATAATTTTTGTCCATCAATTAGTTAAATTCATACATTAATTATTATGTTATATATTAATTATTTATTTTATATATAACTTATATTAATGAATTTTTATAAAATGTTTCATTTGATTTTTTTTTGTGTTTTTACTTCATTTATTTGTTAATTCTTATTGTTATTTTTTTTTGTTTTCTTGTTAATGCTAATTAGTCGTTGCTTAAATTTAAACAATATATACGTATATATTTTTATATATATATTTATTATATATATATATTTTTTTATATATATATTTGTTATTATTTTGTATAAAAAAGCATATTATATATATATATTATTTTTTTAAATTAAAATCATTTCAATTAAAATAGTTAAATATTAATTTGATCATTCTTAAAAATTAAGAACGAATGTTTTTAAGTATACATAAATAATATATAAAACTTTTATATCGTTTTATTAATTTATATTTAATTATATAATATACTATTATTTGATTAAATATCATATTTAGAATATCATTATAATTTAAATTTTTATTTCTCTTTTTTTTTTTCTTTTTTCTTTATTAATTAATGTATTTTATTTTAATTTTTAAATTAAAAAATACTTTTCAAGTTTATATCAATTAAAATCCTAATATGCAATAATAAAAAATTATTAAAAAAAAAATATATATATATATACTTATTTACCTATAGTAATTTTAATAGTAAATTAATATTACACAGACATTAGTAAAATAATTGAATAAAATAATAGTAATAGTAATTAATTTTTAATTTAATATTCTTTGGGTAAATACAATTATAAAGAAAAAATATTATACAAATTAATCAATAATTATTGTTAAAAATAAACTTAAAAATATTGCAAATGTTGCAAGCATTTTCTTATAATATCGACTTAATTAAATAAAAATTAAATTGATAACATAATTTTAAAATTAAAAATTGTTGTATTATTTTATTATTGCTTTTTATTTAAAAAAAAAAACATAATAATTGTTTTTTATAAAATTTGTTTTTGTTTAGTTAAATTTTTTTTTTTTATTACAAGGTAAGTATATGCTAACCTAAATTTCACATTGCAATTAAATTTATTTTTAAGAAAATATACTAAATATAAAATATTATTATATAAAATGTTATTTTTTATTTTTTTTATATTATAATTTGTTTTCATATAATAAAAGAGAACAGAAAAAAAATATTAAAAATAAGAAATTATTCAATCATAAATTAACCAGAAATACAATTTGACATACCAAATCATTGTATATATTGTTTCTTTTTTTTTGTTTTAATTTAAATTTAGATCAAATTTTATAATATTTTAATTTAAATACTTCTTTCAAAAAAATTGTAGTTTTCATTTTTATTTTTAAATAGAATTTTATTCAATATAAAAATAGAGTTTTTGAAGATAAAATTTTTCAAAATTTTTTTTTTTCTAAGTGTATATTTTATTGAGCAAAATCATTTGAAGCGATTTTATTAAATTTTGAATAATTATTAAAAATAATTATTTTAAACGGTTTAATACTATAATTTAAATAATAATAATATTTTTGCTATTTTATTACAATCATATTTATTCTTTTAGGCTTTCTACCTATGTATTTTTCAATTCTTAGTAATTTTTCAAAAAGATTATTCAATTGCAATACCATGTATTCCGTAATGCAAAGTATTGAGTAATCGTAATATTTATTAAATCCAATCCAAAAAATTAATTTTAAATGAAATTTAACAATTAATTTTTTAATAAAATAAGTTAAGACACAATAATCGTTATTCAGAGAATTCGGAGATAGTTCTTTATTGATTAAAAAAATTCAATACATACTACGTTAAGAAGTTAAATTTAAGAAATGAAAATTTGAATTATTTTTTTTTTTTTCGGTTTTTCTGAAGCTAGTAATAAAAATAACAAAAAAATTTAAAATATAATTTTTTAAATTGTAATGTTTTTCTTCTTTGTTTAATTTATTTCATTAAATATTGTTTTTTGTTATTTTCTCATTTTTATAAATTTTCTTTTCTACTCTACAAAAATTTTTATATTGTATTAAAATTTAGATTATTTCATTAAAAAATTCTTAATTTTATGTATATTTAATATTTTTGATTTTTATCATGCTTGAATTTATATAATGTTTAGTTATATTAATTATATAATTTAATTCCAATTTATTTTGTTAGCATATTTTTATCAGTTTTGTTATTTGATTCATTTTTATTCTCATTAATGTTGATATGGTAAAATTTAAGTTTATTTGATCGATTTTATTCTTTTCCTACTATATGTTTATTTTATTTATTTCGTATTTATTTTGTGTTATATTACTACAATAAAAAATATTGAATTTTGGAAAATGTTTAAAAAAAAAGATCTATTAATTAAATAGAAATTTAAAAAAGAGCAAAATATTGTTAAAAAATTGTGATAACGTTTATTTTCTTAAAATAAAAAAAAAAAACATTTACAATATTTAAATTTTAAATAAAGAATTTTTAATAAAGAATTTGAAATACCATCGATTATTGCCAAATATATTTCTTTTTATTATGTAATAACTATCGAACAATATTCAAATTTTTACTACTAATGTTTCATAGAAAAATATTTTTTTTTTTAATTTTCATATATAAAATTTTCGTAAATTTTAAATAATATTATAATAATGTTGTTTAATAGAAACATTATATATAAATATATGATAATAAATAAATTAAGAAAAAAATTGATATTACATACATTAAAATTGTCCCCAGAATATATCACAGACTGAACAATGGAACAAAATTTTTACAAAACAAAATATAAAATACAATAAAATTAATTTTGATGTAATAATATAAATATTGTTCAAAATAGAATATTACATTTTTTTTTTTTTGAAATTGGCAAATTGATTAACATTCATCAAATTGAATTTAAAAATGTATGAAAATATTTTTATATAAAATATTAAATTTCATTATATTAATTATTTAAAATCATAATATTTAGTTTAAAATAATATAAAAAATTTTTACACATTGGAATTTCTAACTTTATTAATATAAAGTCAACTAAATGTAATGTAGAAAATTGAATGATTGCTTCTTAACAAAAACAAAAATTTTTCAAAAAATGATAAAGAATCATTAATATTATTAGTTATAGTAGAGAAGGTTGCAAGGGGATTTAAAGGCATGTGGTTTATTCAAAAAAAAAAAAAAACTTACCTTACCTGTACAAAAAATTTTTAAATAGATTTCCAAAAAAAAAAAAAAAAATCCCATTACATTATTTAATAATTTTTACGTTAACACTTATAGAAAATAATATTTTTTTAAACAATTATACATTATCATTTTCAATTTTTCATTTAATTTTAATAATAAAAATTTAATACATTGTAAAATAAAAACAAATGATAATAATAAGTGCTGTAAATTATAATTTATGTATCAAAAAAAAAAAAAAAAAAAAAAAATAAAAAGTAAAAATAATTTATAAAAACATTAAACTAACAAAATATTTTAATTAAAACATAAAAATTTAAATTTCTAAAAAAAAAAAATCGAAAATTAAAATATTTATTTATTAATAAATTCTTATGTATTTTCTTTGATGATTTTTATATGTCTGCTATTTTTTTTGTGTTCTTTATTTTTTTTACTAAGTAATAACTAAAAACTAATTTATAATTATAACTACTAAAACTTATAATTTATTTTTATTATTATAATAATTATCAATTGAAATAATTTTCTTTAAAAAATATATTTATATATTTTTAAAACGAAATTTTGTATTATTCTTTGTTTTTCTTCGTATAATTTTTATATTATGTATTTAGATCTACATGGATCAAAGCAATTTTATTTGTTTTTCTCTGTAAATAATTTTTTTAAAATTTATTTTTTTTAAATTAAATTTTTTATTTCCTTTTTTTTTTTTTTTGTTTTTTATTTATTAAGTTTTACTCTTTTTTTTTTTGTTTCTTTTATTTTTATATTGTTTATTATTTTATTTACGTTGTTTGACTAGATTTTATTGTTTAATATTGGAAAAAGTTAAACTTATATAATAATTATTTATGTTTTATAAATTTTATATTTATATAGTTTTATATTCGATTCAATTGTATATTAAAAATATTCAAACAATTAGCATAAGATTACAATTCACGTAAAATATATTATAAAAAACAATTTACTGTTTTGTTTAGTAAAGTGGTCAACATTATATTTTTTAATTAATATTATTATTATTATTTGGGATAAGTTTATAATAATTAAAACACATAAAAAGACACAATTTTATTTATATTTATATTAATTAGATTTAGACAAAATTTAAGCGCTTGTATTGTTGTAAATATATACTGAGCTAATAAATATTTAAATTATTTATTATTATTTGTTACATTGAAAATTAGCGATTATATTTTTTTTTTTGTTTTGATTTTTGTTAATACGAACAAGAAATTTTATATTTTACGTGAACTATAAAACATTGCATAAAGGTAAAAGTTTAAATTGAAAAAAAAACATTGTCTTGGTTAAGAACTTTAAATGATTTGAATGAAAAAAAAAAAAACAAAAGAATGAAAAATATATTCTTTCCTTTCGTTTTTATGGTTTTCGGGATATTGCACTAAAATGTAATACATAATATTTTAGTAAGTTATTGACTATCAAATTTTGGAAAATTTTATTACTTAAATAATTAATTAAATTACTGTCTGAAGTTGATTCGAATTAGTTAAACTTGCATTGATTGTTTTATTCAATTTTTTTTTTTTGTTTTTGTCGAAAATTGTACTCAAAATATAAATTTTGATTAAAAAATTTAATATAATAAGTAATTTATATAATACCAATACTAAACTAGTTAATTTTAATTTAAAAATTACTTAAAATGAAATTTTCTTTCCTTAAAAATGACGAAAAAGAAAATAAAATTAGGAACATGATGTTTTTAAATTTTTGTAAAAAAAAAAAATAATTTTTTTAATAATTTTACCAACGCTTGAATATTTTATGATACATTTTTTTTTTTTTTTGTTAAAATATTTTTAAATAGTTTTCAATATTATAATAATTAAAATGAAATATTTTTTTTTGTCTTTTTTTTTTTGTTTTGTAATAATTTATCTATGCAAAGCATTTGAAATTTGTTTAAGCGATTGACCAACTTCAATAACCAATTTTTCATTGTCTTGAACATTTTTGCTACCAGCTGAACGTAAACAACGTGATTGAGTTTCAACTCGTGTTACTAATTCACGAAATTGAAATTTTGAATGTAATGGCATTGATTCATTGTCAGCAAATGCAACACATGAATTTTGTAAAATATTTAATTTATCACTTAATTGAAGCCATTGTGATGCTGATATTGAATTAACTGGTATTTTAAGACTACCTTCTAATAATCCAACTAATTCTAATATACCTTCACGATTTATTTGTATTGTATTATTTGATTGTTGCTGCTGTTGTTGTATTTGCTGTTGTTGCTGTTGTTGATTCGGTGTTGTATTTGAATTTGTTTCATTTATATTAATTTTTTGTCCGATTGGTGTTGCATATATTGATGAGAATTTTGTTGGTTTTAATGGTACTGCTGGTTTATTTTGTAATTTATTTGTTATTTGCGAATTATTTTCTTCTAAATTAGCTGACTGAGACATAATTGATGAAGATTCAATATTTTCATCGGAGTTACTAGAAAATTTTTGTTTGGTATTCATTTTTGGACTAAGCTGTTGTTGATTATTTGATGATGTATCAGTTTGACCATTACTACCAGAAGATTCTTTTGCTTCCCATAGTTTCTTTAAACTACTAATACTGCCAGTACTGCGACGTTTTGTATTATCTTCTTCGGCCGAATCTCCACCACTGCCAGAAGTATTTGCGCCACCACTACCACTTGAATTATAATTATTTTTAGTTAAACTATTTGTATCTATTGTATGGTCACGTTTTATTTTATCTTCGTTATTTGTTTGAGCAGGTATTAAATCAATTTTTATTTCAGTCTTTTTATACTCTCCTCCACCGATAATAAGATTGTTTGATATTTTTGATCTTTTGTCAAAATTGTTTGTCAAATCGTGATTATTCAATTTATTTTCTGTATCTTGACTTAAACTTATTGTATCATGCTCTTTTTCATTATTGTTATCAACTTTACGTAGACGAGATTTAAAATCTATAATTCCACCAGTTGGAGTTCCGTTATTAAGAATAGATTCATTTGATTGGCTCATTTTATTTGAAGCTATTTTCTTTGGTTCAACTTTTTTTAACTGAGCTTTAAATTGATTTGTGCTTTGATTGTTATCTACGACATTATTCAAAGGTTTTGATAATGACCCACCAATTTTTTTGCCATTTTGTAATACTTTATCTTTTCCATTTGGCAAATTCATTTGTTCTGCTAATTCTGTGACTAATTTTGAAACTGGATCACTAGTTGGGTTACCATTTTCTTTATTTGTTTCATGTTTGCAGTCTCTTCTCAAGTTTTCTCCTGTTCGCTCTTTTATTTCGGCTAATAACTTCATTTCAAGTTTTTCTTTTACATTTATTTCTTTTGATTCAGCTGGACTACCTAATGAACTACAAGAATCAGTCGATGGCTCACGTTTTCTTAAGCTCACGCCAAACCGTGAGCTAGCTTCTTCTACGCTTGGTGCAGTATTCGAAACATCGTTATTATTTATTGCTGCAGGTGCAGTCGACATTACTGGCGGAATGACCTGAGATGTATTATTGCTAATCATTAATGGTGGTGGTGGAATAGGTATAGGAGCTATGATAGGCGGTGGAGCTTCAGGTCTTGGAACATCAAATTCTTCTGGTGGTGGTGGTAAGTCTAAAGGCGGCGGCGGAAATTCCAAATCGGCTAATGTAGGTTGTACAGTTCTTTTTGGGCTACTTCCACTAGGAGCTCCTCTAAAACTTGAAAATGTCATCATTGATCCATCAGCTGCAGTACGATGACGTTGAAGCTTGTTTAAGCTAGCCGATGCATTATTTGCCATCGTAACGCCTGATGAAGAGTTACTGCGAATCATTTGTGGCTGGGATTTATAAGATAAATTACTAGTATTGCTAGGATTTCGTTGTAGATTAACAACAGTACTATTAAGAGCACAACCGTTAATTTGATGATTAGGAGGTGGAGGTGGTGGCATGTCCTGATGTTGTAATAAATTTTGTTGATTATTATGAACTTGTGACGTGGAATCTTGTTGTTCTAAACTTTCTAAATAAGCTCCAATTCGAGCAACTTTCGGTAATGTTCCATAACGATTAATTGCTCGTTTTACATTCATTACTTCTAATGCACCAACAGTAACTTGATTTGATCCTGAAGGTGGTGTTATCATTCCAGTACCATTAATATTCATACCGCTATTAGTAATACAATTAGAATTTGGATGCGGTGGTAATTCATTATTTTGTTTATGTGCTTGAGATCTTTTGCTACTTCGGCTCTCCAAACCACGGTTACCCATTACTGGAGTAGGTCTTTTAAAAGAACTATGTTGAACTTTATTATGTTGCTGCTGCTGTTGAATTTGCTGTGGCGACGGTTGTTGCTGCTGCATCTGATGAATTTGTTGGTGATGTCCTCCTCCTAATGAATGTAATTTATTTTGATCTAAGCTTTCATTGTCTGTATCTGGTGTCATTTCATTCGTATCATTTTCGGACTCACCGCCGCCACGGTTTGCAAAATTTGTAATGTCGCGTGTTAAACCTAAAATTAATAATAATAGTATTAAGAAATTTTAGATTGAAGGGAAAAGTTTACAAAATGCAGTGGCACAATTTCACGATTTTTTGTGAGCATTTCTTTTTTTGTGCAAAAGCTCGTGAGTTTGGCCATAAACTTAAAAATAACTAAAAAATATTTGTAAATATCAGAATTCTAAAGTTAATAAAAAAAATCTGAATTCCAAAATTAAAGTTAAAACACAATAAAAACACAAAATTTATAGAAAAACCCAAATAATTGTTTTTTTTTTTGGTTTGTTAGTAAATTTCAACCAGAAACAAAATTTTGAATAATTTTGGAATAATACTTAATTAAATTGAAAATGTTCATAAAAATAGAGAAATTATAAAAACAAAAATTAAGAAAAAAAAGAAGATTTTTATCACTTGTTTGAGAAACAAATATTTTATATTAAATTATAATAAACTGAAAAGTAGACTTGAATTTTTAAAAAATTTATTAAGCATTTTTAAGGCAATATTCCTGTACTGAAAAGTATTTGTCACATATATAAACTCTAATTAATGTAGAAGCCATAGGAAACATCAGTCTTTTCCCAAAAAAATTGAACCAATATTAACATTTAAGTAATTAATTGTTTAATATTCATACTATTCGACTTGATGCAAAATATGTATAGCTTGTTGGTTGTATTTGAGGAACAAATTCAAAATGAATAGTTTATTTCATTTTAATTTTATACTAATGAAATTAAATATTTATGACATAATAAGATAATTCAAACTCAAACAAAAGTAGTTCCTTAAGAAAAATTTAATAATATTTTCGCAAGATCAATTTATTTCAAGTGTTTTGAATTTGAAAATAATTATCTGTTTAGAAATAATGGGATTGATATAGCTTCAATAGAACTCTTACGATTACATTATTTTACAAATTTAATATAATAGTTTAATTATTTACATTGTTAATATTTAAAAAAAATAATTTCTTTAATATAATTTACATTCGTAAATATGATGTTATTAGGAAAATGAAAAATAAATTGTTAATGGAAAAAAAAACAGAAAAAAAAAAGAAAAAATTATTTTCATTTCTTTTTTCCTTATGTCCCCTAGTTTAAAATATTATTGAGTTTTATTCAATATTCAGTGAAATATTTTATATAAAAACTCCAAATATGCAAGCATTTTAAAGATAGCCATTTGAAAGCTCATCATTCCATAGAATTAATAAAAGAATGCCTGAAGAAGAGATTTTCCTTTTCTTACTTATATGACAAATACCTCGAAATAGAATATCGATTATAAAACTACTGCAAGATGATGATTTTTTAATTGTACCATTTTGATTATTTGATTCTTCTATATTTTTGGTTTCATCATCACGATATGTTGAATCACGACTCGTTGAAAGTAAGCTAAAAACAAAATCGTATAAATTTAAAAAGACTTATACTTAAGTTTTTACTTCAAAAAAGAAAATACCTCGTTCTCTTTGGTGGTGCTGGCGCTTGTTTTCCTTGCTTATTAACTCTTCTCATTTGAACATTACCTTTTCCTTGACTTGTAAATGTACTTAATTTGGTTGAAGTTGATCCCGTTTCTAAAAATTTTTCAGTTAGTTTAAAAAAAATTAATCATTAATGCTTTTTTTTATACTATGTTTTAAAAATTGATGTTACCAGATAATGGCGTATTCCCTTGAGAATCATGTTGATGACTATGTTGAGATGTCACTTGTGGTTTCTTACCCATTTGTGGTGTTAATGATTGACTGGCGTTTAATTGTTTTTCCACAGCTTCAGTAATTGAAGATTCCTAAACGAATTTATAACTTCAGTAGTATTTGTTTGTGTACATAGATATTTCAAGGATTATAAAAATACCTGAAACATATGCTCAAGAGCGTGATGAATACTCTTAAATGTTGGTCTATCTTGTGCATTCCAATGCCAACACTGACGCATTAAATCATATACCTCTGGTGGGCAACCTGGTGGTCTTTCCATACGGTAACCTTTTTCCAATTTATGAAAAACATCGGATAAATCAATTCCGGGATATGGTGACATACCATACGTTGCAATTTCCCACAATAAAACACCGAATGCCCATACATCAGATTTCGTACTAAATTTATTGTAGGCTAAACCTTCGGGTGCTGTCCATTTTATTGGAAATTTAGCGCCAGCATGTGCTGTATATGTATCATCGCGCATTAAACGTGCTAAACCAAAATCTGCTACTTTTACTAATTTATTATCACCAACTAAACAATTCCTAGCCGCCAAATCTCTATGTATATAATTACGAGATTCCAAATAACTCATGCCAGAGGCTATTTGTGTTGCCATATAAAGCAAGGCTACAGCATCCAATGTTTCACGGCCAGCGGAACGTAAAAAATCTAATAAATTTCCATGGCTCATAAATTCAGTAATTATATAAAATGGTGGTTCTCTTGTACAAACACCTAAAAGTAATTCAATTAAACAAAAAATTTAAATGATGCTTTCAAACTAAATATTAAATATTAATTTTGTAATCTTACCTATAAGCTGAACTAAATTTGGATGTTTCATTTCTTTCATAATAGCAGCTTCCTCTAGAAAATCTTTTAATGCCATTGTATCTTCTTTGAGAGTTTTCACAGCCACAGTATTTCCATACCTTTTCCATATGGCCTCGTACACCTCACCATATTGACCACCACCTAATTTATGTTTCATAACAATATCAGTTCGACAAATTTCCCATTCATCCGGTTCGGGACTCAATGGGAATACTGTAGGTTTATTTTGTTTAGGTGCCGGATACAATAATGGTGTTATTAAACCATGACCTTCATGTTGAACACTATGATGATGTACTAATTCAGCAAGAGTATTAAATTTAGCTTCAGCTGTAACATAAACTTTACCATCAGAATCTTCTGATATTCGATAATGATAAACACGTCCTTCATATCTAAAATGTATGTAAGTATATTAATTAATAATTTCAAAGCTAATATGTATTTCTAATAATCACCTTAAACTAATACTACGTTGTCCTGGTGAACTTTCACTTTCTCTTACCAAAAAGCTACCATTAATACCTGAACTTAATAAATATTCAGCTGCATTACGTGATATTGGTCCATGATACCACGAATGTTTTTCTAATGAATTCAATGGCGTTACATAATTCGATGGTACCCAACCAACATTTCCAGTATCTGAATGTGCTTCACACCATTCACCAGACTTATTATATGATAAAATTCTAACTTGTTCACCTTTTTTTAAACTTAATTGATTTTCACCACCGGCTTGAAAATCATATAATGCTACGAAAAGTTGTGGATCATCTTCTTCTGGTCCAGGCTGTAAAAGATTTTCTTTTGATGTCCATCTATGAGCTGATTCAAAACCGGATGTATTTGAGCTAGGTGGCCCAGCACCACCACCACCACCTCCATGTGTTTGACTTTGACTTAGACCAGAATGTGCTACTAAAATTGTTGAACCATCTGGCTGTACAATTATTTCACCATCTATTAATGTTGCCGCGGTTCCACCAGGTGGTATATGTGGTAGAGGTCTTGATTGTAATAAAGCCTCTGAAAAAACAAAAATATTAAAAAAACAAATAATTAATAAATAGAATGATTAAGGTTTTTTTTTGAATTGAAAAAATTATTAGTAATTTAAAAAACAAACTTTCTTTAATAGCAAAAAGCTTAAAAAAATAAACAAACAAACATAAGTACATACAATCATATAAACTGAAAAATATCACAATTGAACGGTTTAAGGGAAAATTACATCAGTAAATTTCATTTACTTTTCGCAAAACAGATGAATAGATCTCGTAAGAATTTTTTATGTTGGAGCACGAGTTCTCTGAATAATAAAACACTCAGAAAATGAAGAAGTCATAATAATCATTTTAAAATCTTAAGAAAAACAAAATATCAAATACATAATAGAATAGTAAAACGTCTAGCAGATTTTTATAAATTGTTTTTTTATGCTCATTTTTCCTTGAAGGAAGCTAAAAACCAAAACAACAACATAACTTTACAGCAATCGTCGCCGGCGGAAATGATTTATTTCTACAATTCAATTGTAAAAAGAGAAAAAAGAAAATTTCACTGTCGGCGCAAAAATCATTTTCATTTCCAAAAATTTGTTTTCTTTCTTCCGTTTTCGGGTAAAAGTTTTATTTTTTTTCTTTCCCCTTGATTTGTTATGTATTCTTATTCCTATTCCTATTCATCTGTATTGTGTACAATTACTCAAGTAAAAGATTGTATATGGGCAATCTAACTAACAATCAAGTATTTAGAAATTTTCTACTAGATGACAATTCTGCCATTGGTTGGTCAAGTTTTGTGTATTGTGTTTACACGTGGTGCAAAAGAAGCTAATGACTATACGTCTGTCTATTTTTCGATATTATAAGCTTATCAAAATTTCTTTCATTTTTGTTTCAAAGATCAGTGCTAAAATTGTATAGCACTTGTAAAAAAATTCAGTTCAACTAAAAAAAATTTAAGTCAATTAATTAACGACATCTTCCGTTGCGTTTTATATTCTAGCATACCTAAAGTGAAATTTTTATAATAAAATAAAATAAGCTTTGTATTCCTTAGAATATTCTTATCAAAAATAGAAAATTTATTCTGTCAAGTGAATTGCCCTTAAAAACAATTTAAGAAACTTTTGTAAACAATTTCCATTTAATTCGCCTTCCTTTCGCATTTTACTCTTACTTTCTTTGGAAAAGGATAATGAAAATTAATAACAGTTAAAAAAAATATACAAAAAATACATCTCTTTTTTATTTAATTTTCCTTATCTTTTATCGGTAAATTTGAAATAAGTAGATACTAAAATAATTTTATTGAGACCTCATTTATTTATTTAAAAAAAATAAACAAAAAAATGAATTAAATATTTACTATGCTCTAGAGGCGAGGTACTTACTATTAAAATTTTGTAAAATGAGACCTGTATGAGTTAAACTCGCATGCATTTAGTTTTACACAAAACTATTGGAACGTCAGGACAAAAAGTAATCAAAATTATGCACAAACGAGTAAATAAGTTTTCATTAAGACTAAATTTACATAAGTACTTGCCTTCAATATTTCTAAACATTCTGCAAAAAACTTAGTAAAAATTTGATAAGAAATTACAAAGTATATCTAATAGGAATTGAAGAACCTAAAAGTGATGTTAATAAAGTTGGGTCAAACCAATGGTTTGTAAACTAGCATTTTAAATTTATTTTCTTTACAATAAAAAAAATTTACTAACTATATTTTTTTGTGAGAAGGCATTTAAAGTAAGCCTTTTGCATTTATAGAAATTTGAAAAAGCTTGAAGTTTCGAAAATATATAAGCTGTAGAAAATTCGAATTTTACAGTTTTTGAGGATCGCGATAATTTGCAAGGCCGATGGAGGCGGAAAAAAAATTTCTAACGAAATAAATTATTTAATATTATTTAAACGCTGCGAAATCAGACTCTTGCAACTTATAGTCTAGAAGAAAAACGATATAAAAAATTTGAAGAAAAAAAATGGATTTTAGATAACGGTTAATTTAAACTGCCATTTTTTCATTTTCATGTAGGATTTAAAAAATGTTTGCATAGTTTCTTTATAGAATAAATAGTCAAAAAACGGTTTTTTTAAAACTTTAAGGGACTTAAATGGAAGGGTGGAGAGACAGGGAAAAGCTTTTTTCTATGGCAGTAGGTTTCTAGTAAAGATTTATTTATAAATGCAATTTCACCTTTCTATCTTAAATTGTATGGAAGATTTGTAAACAGACACATGGACGGACGGATGGACGGACGGACGTACAGAGATAAACTTGCTCCTTTTTTCAAATTTTTTTTTGAAAAGGTGCTAAAGACAAAGAAAATAATGATATAGTATGAAATTTAAAAAAAAAAACATGAAGAAAATTATTTCACTTTCTTTTGAAATTTTCTTTTTAATTATGTGACTTTTAACTCACTAATATAGTTTTCATTTGTTATGGGATTAATTTGTAGCTTTCATTTTCTTGAAATTTTCAACACAAAATGCTTATTTAAGCTTGCACGTTTATTCAAATTATATATATAGTTTCGTGTGGGAATAAATCAAGTTTTTCATATTTTTACAGCTAGCACAGATTTTAATGAAAATTATAATTAAATTTATAACTTGTCATTTATTGCAATTTTATGAAATATTTATGATGAGATGAAAAATGAGAAATATTTTTTCCTAAAGCACTCACTAGTATACAAGAGAAAATTTTACAATTTTAAAAGTTAATAGAAATTTATTATTAAAAATAATTACTTAAAAAAATTTGTAATTTAACTTTTATTTCAAGTTTCGAAAGTCATATTGGGAAAATTATAAGTATGTACAACGTCGGCAAATATCGTTTGAATTTAAATTTTCACATAGAAAGAGTAAATTCCAGCATAAATTAATTGAAAATTTCATTACTTACATTAGTGATTTCATAAAAATAATTAACAAAATTGAAATTAGAGGTTAAAATCTAATTAATTACTTAAATTAATTAAGTAATTTAAGTTATCGTTTATCATATCTTTAATTTTGCATCTATATTTTTTTGCAGTTTACTTATGCATAACCTAAAATTTATTTGACGTTGCAACCAAAATTTTACAAATCCATGAATAAATTTATTTCAGTATTGCCCAAAAAATAGAACATTTAAAATTGATAGTTAACTTAGATTTAGAACAAAATTTTGATTTTCGGTTTTAATACTCACGTCTCAAAATTAGATGACGTGCGTATAACATATTTAGTTGACATTTAAATGACTACACAATGTGCGTTATACATTTCTACACATATTATTAAAATAAAATGTCTTTTTAGTTATTTTAGTTTTTAAGCTTTCGAACGGAAAATTTTGCTGTCGAAATTTTTTAGAAAAAAAAAAAATAATAGTATGTATTTGGTTAAAGAGATATTTTAAATCTAGCATATGATTAAACATAATATGACTGGCATAAAAATGTAAATGACTGGAAATTTCAGATGCGCTGTATTCAAAATTAACTCAACAACAAGAAGAGCACTTAAAATATAATTTCAGTCAAAGCGCGTCAAACTCAATAAATATTATTGTATAATTTAGATAATATAAATATCAACAAAATTTTTATGTAAATTTAGATTTAATTATATTGAAATTTCTCTAAAAATATCATCATCATAAAGTGACAACTGACAACTTAATAACACAAAATTGAGGTAATTCGAAAAAGAGAAAGAGAAAAAAAAAGAAACTTTAATCATCCTTGTTGAATTTCATTTTGAATATGGCATGAAGAAATCGTAATTATAAATGTCAAATATAAAACAAATAAAAAATTTCAAATACAACATTGTAAATAAATAAATTTCTCGTACTTAAAAGAGAATAAGAAAAATAAAAAAAAATGCTGATTATTGTGCTTTATTTTTACCTGTTTATTTTTTAGTTTTTTTTATAATATTGTTATAGGTCAATAACACAAATTTGTTTTCATCATAACAATTACGATCTAATTCACAATAAGAAATTTTTTTCTATTTCATTCATATTCACGATTTGATTTATTAAAATATCGTGTAGATATGTGTGTAGAGGAAATGAAAGTAAGTAATATGTTATGTATGATGTGAAAATGTTCATCACTTTAAAATTAATTATAAATCTTTTAATATAGCTGATTTCCATTAATGGTCACTTGGCATGACAATTTAAACACATTTATTGTAATTTATTTCTTTAAAATTATGGTATCAATCCGCGATTTTAAATTTTATATGTATATCTTTAACATTTGCTTATATCAGCCATTTGCTGCAACTCAATGACATAACTGAAAAATTAGGATGTTTTAGTATTTTATATAGAGATAAGCCCTTCAAACGTTTATTTTTTGGACGAAAACATAATTTTTTTAGCTTAAAAACTGTTGCTTAAAATAAAATATAAAATATTGATATATATTATTTTTCTCAAATGAGCAAATTTTGAGTTATTTGATTGAGTACACGCGTCTTATATAATAAAATTAAATTTGAATTCTCATTTATCTTGTTATTACTTTAAAAAAAAAAAACTCATGACGTAGCATTTTAGAATTAGAATTTCATTTAAAATTATAAAAAAATGAAGTCATTTAAAGTGAGGAAATCAGGACCTAATTAAACATTTTCGCATAAATTTTTTCATATAATTGCATACTTTTAGGAGTTCTTTAAATAATGCCTCCGTGTAGAAAGATTTTGATTTTTGTATAGATTATAGAAGGAGAATCAATGTCATATCACATAATATGGAGTTTATTGATATCGTAAAATTATTAAATTTTTTATATGTCAAAAACTGTTTTTCATAGGTACGATTTTACATTCTTTGACAAGTTTTGCTGCACTACCAGAAATTATGTTAAAATCTTATATATATATATATGTATATGCATACATATATGTATGTAATATCTGAACCTGATTCCATGTATAATGTGTATTGTATAAGCAAATAGAATTATTTACCAATTAAAACCAAGATCTTATCCGTTTAAA